CCAGGTATAGGTAAATATAATTTTGAAGATTTTTCCATAAGTCTTTAATTTGTTGTAAAATTTTTTGATCTTTTCCAAGACCAATTTATTTTTTTGGTAACTTCTTTTGTGAAGGGGCTCGTAACTCAGCAAGATTTTTGATAATTGCTTCGGCGTAATTGATACATCCTAAAAAATACTGTAAATCATTTTGATTTTTAATTTGTTTTAAATAATCAATTTTTGTTAAAACATGTTCTTGTAATTTGATCGCTCATTTATCTATAATAAGTCCTAAGAATTCAATGGTATTGGTCACAAAAACAACTTTTTTTTACTCAAGGCTATTCTTTGTTTTTGGGTTTTTTGTGAGAATAAAGCTAAATGTTTTAAATGTTGAGTAATAGTTTGGCTGAATATTAAAATATCATTTACATAGATAAGACAAAAGTGTGATAATTCAACAAACATAGTGTCCACACATCTTTGAAATATTTGTGGGGCGTTTTTCAAGTCGAAAGACACGACGTTTCATTGGTAGTGACCCTGAGGAGTACTCAAGGTAATAAATTTTGTGATATTAAGATGCATCATAATTTGCCAGAATTCTGATTTACAATCTAATTTAGAGAACCATTTCGCAGTCTTAATATGATTTATTAATACTTCTTTATTTGGTAGGAAATAACAATCAAATTTAGTGTTATCAAAGTTTCGTCTTATTTATTTTTCATAAGACACCACACATTATACTTGATAGAGCTTAGATCATTTAGTTTTTTAGATGTAGGGCTTAACATTAATGTTGGGTATCTTTTTGATGATAAAATTCAATTTAAACAAAATCATTTTATCCATGATTCCGAGTAATTTCAAGTCAAATTTTGGAATTAAGAATCTTATTTCTACATTCCTATGAGAAGTATTACTTTAAGATATTTTAAATTGTATATATATATATATATATATATATATATTAGAGTAATTTCTTGAAAGGTATAATATACTTCATTTTCAAATAATTGAATTTACTATAATAAAATTACTGAGATTGGCTTAAACATTTTGGTGGGATTGGCTTAAACATTTTGGTGAAATATTGTTAATCATGTAACTTCTTTAAAAGTAAACTATTTGATATAAATGTAAAAGCGTACTTATTAATGACGAATAATACATCATCGCACAAAGATATCTATAAAGCCGTAGTGCATAGTACATGATGCAACACGATAAATATGACACGAGTCATGAAAAAATATTAAAAGTTTTTGAAAAGATTCAGATAAATATGAAAAAGTATTAGTTTAAAGGATAAAATGCATGATAGTAAAAACAACTTGAATAATATTTAAATTCAAGTGCTCAATATCTCATTTACTTAAATTTCAAAATATTATGATTTGTTTTACAAGTTTAATATTTTCATAAGCAATTAAAGTGGTCATCTAAAGATTATCATCATTATCATAAGTTAAAACAAATATTATTTCCTTCATTAACATCATTATAATCTTGTAAAGCATCTTGATCATCATCCCCATCAAGCAAAGAAAGCTCACTATCATGTGAATGGCACAATGCGTGTGTGTTTTGTGCGTATAGCATAATTACATTAAAACATATTCATGAAAAATGTGTATTTCTCTTTGAAAAATTAGTATTAGTATTTTTGATTTGCTAATTTTAGATATTTGATATACATCTATAAAAGAATTAAATTGCATGTACTTAAAATTTTCTTTATTTTTTTCATATTAAATTTAAGAAACAATTTCACGTGCATCTTAGGAGAAATGCCCTTGCACCATGCATAGCGCAAATAGCGCTGAGGGTGCGCCATGCTGCATCATTCATTATGGAGTGCTCCATTTTACGTCATTGACATGTATGCTTCATTTGTGTCATAAAGTTATCATGTATGATTTTCATAACTTGCATTGGTTTACTTCCTATGCATAACTTGATTATATCTCTTATACTGAATTCCTCATCTTTTAACAGTGTTGTGAGTAGATTCTCACTTGAGGCAAGATTTAACATGCAATTCTTGTAAGCGAAGTTTATTAGCTTCCAAAGTATTATTTTGTTAACTTGATTTATTTCAATGCTTGTTTGGTTTTTGCTAGCAAATATCTCAATTGATTTCGCAAAATAATCAAAACATCATCTAGTCGGTGATTTAAAATCTTGTTATTTCATCAAAATGGTTTTGAGATTAGTTTATGTGAGTGATTGAGATTTCTTCAGGCCTATCACATATTTTCTTTTGTTCCGTGAATAGTTTATGTGAAAATTATGGCCTAATTTCGGGAAAAGAAAACACATCATTTGTTAAAACTTATCTAGCACTCGAAGATTTTATATTCAAAACACTTTAGTATTGATAAGAAAACAACAATTTTTTTAGTCAATTATCTAAAATCACATGCCTGATTGGTTGTACTTATAACCCAGTACACCGAAAACATAAAATCTTAGAATCCTTCAAACGTTGGCTTATAATTGAATATTTCAATTCATTCAATCATCAAAATAGTAAAAAAAATATCTTTCCTTCTATATCCAAGCCTGTATTCATTGCTTCCAAATTTCAGCTACAAAAGAAAATTGCAAATAGCGAGGACAGCAAACTATGTAAGGGAAAAAAAAAAGATGTAACAAGCTATAAGCAAAGCGTCTGAACCGACTGAGCAGATAAAAAATGGCATATGGTCTTAGTGGTGTATAAGGTAAAACCACAATAAGCAATACCCAAAACAAGTGAATCCTACCTTCTTCTCTAAGTGATGGTAGGAATGAGAATCAATTATTGAACTAAGTTAAACCAATGATAGGAGGATGGTTGCAATCTATAGAAATGGAAGATTGGAATTTGAACTATACTTGACACTAGTTGAATTGAAACCATTTGAAGCAATGAACTAAATTAACAAAATTATTAAAATTGTAAAGAACACATTGCTTTCTCATTTGCACCCTCATCATAAGTATGATTGCAACCAAGCCTAATAACACTTATCTCAATGCTGAATTGAGCGTTTAACAATTTTATAATTTTAGGCCTACATATAAATGGGGCATAAAATGACACACCATGGCTCATGGTGCAGTGTGACGAATCCTTGGCGCTTTTGCATGGTGTGGTGTGGTGCATAAAAATGACTCGCGGGCTATTTTCGCCATCCATGTTCAATGGTGCATTACTCCTATGACACATGCTTAATTGATATCTTAGATTTAATATAAAAAAAATTTACGGACATACAATTCAATTCTTATATATTTGCAAAAATATGACACTCAATAGGACAATGGAGAAAAACGATTCATGCCACCGACCCCACTTAGTGTTATAAATGTTTTTTTGTTATTGTTGTATAAAAAATGACAATTAATTTTTTAAAGGGAATTATACTTTTTCATGATAATATTTTGATGTGATTTGACATAAAATGTTATCCATGTAAATATTAAATTTTAAGTGTTGAATCTGCAATTATATATGGGCCAAAAATCTACACAAATTGTGCCGTTCTCATGATAGTGAACTCCATTTGTTTGATGGGGATGATGATGATTATTATGCTTTATGAGATTATAATCATGTTGATGAAAGAAATGATGTTTGATTGATTTATGATGATGATGATTTTTTGGATTACTAGTTTAATTGCTTATGAAAATATTAGATTTGTAAAAAATTATAATATTTTGAATTTTAAATAATTGACATTGAGCACTTGAATTTAATTATTATTTATTTTATTTTTATTATCACGTCCTTTTATCTTTAAATTCAATATTATTTCTTTTTTTTATTCTCTTAATATTTTATGTCATATTTGAAATGCTATGCGCTGCGACATACGCTATGGTTCTAATGCGACCTTTGTGTTTGGGTGTGCCATTTGCCATTGACAAGTATGAAATGAATACATAATTCGGAAATTTTAAATTATTTTGTTCCTTGTTGGTTGAATGGATCCAAGGGTTTTTCTAATTGGATAATGAGCATTAACAACTTTTTCGCTAGTCTATGATGTCTAATCAGTGACTAGTAAGATTTAGAAATAAAATTATCTGGGCAAGCTAAAAGGGATTGGATGAGCATGGGGAGACAGAAGGAAAGATTAAAAGTTACCACTACTTGAGTTTAAATCAAAATGCTATTAAAAGAAAAAGAGAAAAATAACCTTGCCCTTATCTTGTTTAATTGGCTGCTTGATGAATTTAAATCATTGAAATAAGGACAGAGATTGCAACAAGTACATGAAATGCATTTGAGATGTTAGTACGTTCCAAAATAACGAAGAATTTCTTTATATATTAGTACCACGCTTAACAAAAGTACTCGATCTTGAAATATTGCAATCTAAAGTGAGTAATATTATTGTAAATAACAATTTTTACTATTGCATATTTTTTGGCCAATACTTTCTTTTCATAAAATAAGTCACTTGGTTGGGTCTGTTTTTTAATGTTGAAGATATTTAAGGATGAGTATCAAGATGAGGAGCATGTATTAAATGAGTTATGTGATTTTGAAAATTGTTTGATTGAAACTCTTTAAATAATATGTGATGTGATCGTTGTCTTATTTTGGTTTGAACCTGATTGAAAAAGAACCTTGTTCAAATATATTTTAACTTCTATGAAGAACTATGCACACTAATTATTGATTTTGGAAGTTGTTCAAATATATATATACAGAAAACAGAAAAATGCTTAAGTATAAAAACACCTTGTAACACTTCCATCTACTTCAATTTAAAGTCGACAACTTCTCTAAAACTAGATCGCTATTTGCCTTGATTCCCTTGAATTATAATCCCAAAATGAATATGAATTTATTTCTTTCATGCTAGACGTTATATGAAATGTTCTCATTGACCAAATATGTTGAAACATGTGATTGATGTAGCCATGGGAATTTCCCTAAATTCCATAGCTGGTATACATAATGTGACATTCACTTTCAGATTTCTAAATCCTTATTATTATGTTTTTTAATGTCTCAGAAAAACAATATTCCAGTGGTCTTGGTTGAAAACAGTGGCCGGTGCAAGACTAATGATAGCGGGGAGAAGGTAAATCTCTCACTCTCTCTCTCTCTCTCTTTCTCTCTCTCTGTCTTTTCATGCATTTGTATATGATATAAATAAACTGATATGAAGATTATGGGTGTAGAACTGAAAAATTGAATCTGGCCTATCACATTTTGCTGATTCTGTTCGGCTTTGGAGGAATGATTCGACCTTTTTGTTTTAAAATTTTCATAAATCCGTTTTCATTTTGTTGGATCGGTTTTAATATCCGCTAACCCATGAAATAAAAAAAATCATATAATATTAGTATTAGAAAATAAAATTCATTTGTAAAGAAAATAAATCTAGCACATGATATGTATTTTAGTTTAGTTATTTTTATTTTTAAAGAGATTGTGAGGAGATAAAAAGTTGAAATAACATTTTCATTTTTAAATACAAACCTAAAGTTTTAATTATTTCGGTTTGAAATACAACCAAATGCTGAATTTCGATTTGTTCCAAACCGAACCGATTAAACTCAATTACATTTCTATCTGAATCAGTTTTTGCAAAAGTTTAATCATTTTGGTTTTTGAGATCTCCGACATTTAGTTTGACTAATTTATAAACTAACCCATCCAAACTAACCATTTGTAAACCAGATTCTTCCGAATGGGACGGCATGGATCCCTAGCTTGGTAGAAACAATCATCAATGTGGTAACCAGTGGCGGCCAGTCCATCTTGGTGGATCAGAAGTTAATAGAAGGGCCAAATGCAAACAGCAGGGGAAAACTTTTCATACCCCTTATCCTTGCCTTTCAGGTTACAATTCTATATGGCTACAATGTTTAAAATCTCTGCAAGTAATTCCTGAATCTCCACCATGAAAACTGATTCATGTCACTTCTCCATTTAACAGTACCTCTTCGTCATAAAGACCATACAGCGTTCAATCAAAGAGGATATCAGTAAAGAAAATAAATCTATTTGGGAGCTTCGTGATGTGGGAATGGCTGACAACAAATTCTGACCAATTCTGTTGATTTGAAGAATTTTTTTTCCATTTACGGAGTTGATTTTTCTTATGCTGGTATCTTTAATGGCATTAGGATACAGAGAAGTTGAGCTTTTTTGTGTCAAGAGTTCTTCAAGGGATACTTCCTATGCTGTTTATTTGATGACTTTTGGACATTAACAAGCGTTTGAAAGGACTGGTTTTGGTTCGCATGTTTCTTTTTTTTTTTTTGGAACATTTACATACATACCACTCAGTTATTATGTATTTACGTATTTACATACATTTCACCTTATCTATGCATGAAAATTTGCTTTTCACCATTTAAAAGTTATAGTGGTGATATTTTTGATGAAGTGTGAAAGATTTAGGTGGTAGAAGTAAAAAAAATAAAATTTAAATATTAGATATGTAAATACATATGAATTTGGTGGTATTTATGTAATTGTACCCGGGAACATGTATTTACGTTTCTAACGCTAAGCTTTAGTTTTTTTATATTTATATCGCTTAAATTTGAAAAGGTGTGGTCCACTAGTTCACTTTTTAAAGGTTAGTAAGAGAAATATTTGATGTGATTTGAAAGATTTTAATATTATAAATATGAAAATCAATGTTTAGGTATTAAATATGTAAATTCATAAACAAATATCATGGGCTGATCCCAATGACAACAGGCCTTCTTAGGTTTAACTTCCCTCTGATGTCCTATTTTCCTAGGCTTGCATTTAGAGCTTGCATTTAGTCTCTTCCTAGCATGCATTTTCTCTTCATAGGTTTTTGATGTCACATACAAGAGGAGTCTATTGACATAAAATGAGATTGTTTCCATCTTATCACTATCTAAGACATCCAATCGAATCTCTTAGTACGTGTCCAGAGCACAAAATCAGGATTGGTATCGTGATTTATGTCTGTTCTAATGTTGAGAGACCCAACACCATCAATCTGGAGTCTTCTAAGGACAAGGGTAGTCGCTAAGATCTCCCATTTACATTTTGGGATATTTAGGTTCAGACAGATTTCATCCCCCGCTAGGGTCTGAGACATCTATCAGCAATGAAAATTTCAATTGAAAATGCCTACATTATTTATTTCTAAGTTATGGGGATGTATTCTAGCAATACATAAATTTCTATGGTTTTCAGATCGACGAGGACCCTCCCACCCTTTTTGGAAGCTTTTGAGGTGAGGTGTCAAGGCCATTTTTGGCAACATAGAAGGAAATTTTGAGGGCGGGTTAGCTTTTCATCCCTTGTCTCCACTAAAGCAAACATCTCCTCCATTCTCCAGCTTTTGGGTTCTGGTTTTGAGAGAGAGCTTCAACTACTTCTTCCTTGGAGCTAGGGGGTTTTACTTAGAGGCTTTAATGGAAAGAGTTTGGGACAAATGTATGAAGAAGGCTTGGTTTCGTGCAGCCCCTTCTTCTTCTTCTTTCATAAGGATCCCTCTTCTTCCTCATCTCCTCCATCTTCCTCCACCACTTTTCTTGAGAGTGTGAGAAGGCTGTCTTGAGGAAGAGGTGAACTAACGAAGAAGCAAGGCATTTAATCACTGATGGAAAAGGAGCACTTCTTAATACTTTGGGGAAGGATCACCAAAGCTCTGTTAGAACTTTGTTAGAGCCCAGAACTCCTTCGGGACCTCGCTGGACTCTTCTTCTAGCAGAGAGCCTCATTATTCTTTGGAGAATAAGAGGCACAATCCTCATCGAAGCTTCGTTAAAACTTCTTCGAAGCTCGGACAACTAAAGATAACACTACGAGAAAATGTCACGAAGGTTAAGATTCTTGAGAACTCTTGCACTAATTTTCTGTCTAACCCTAGGTATATGTTAGAGAAGTTAGGATTATGTTGTTTTTCTAGAGAAAGACCTTAAGTTAGGAAAAATGTCATGGACAAATCCCTACTAAATCTGAGATATTTCCCTTGTAAAACCCTTGGACCAAAAAATGAGCGTTTGGAATCTAAATTTCCCCTAACTTTTAGGATTTTTTAGAATGAAAAAAAGATTTGTAATTATTCCATTTTACAAAAAATGTGGAGAATTGTAGGATGGAAAAAACTATGTGTGATTGCAAGGACGAGTAAAGCTTGCAATCTAACACAGATGATTGCATATGCTTATATGTTTGATTATAATTTGCATGTACTACATTGTATGTGTCACTTAGGTCCGACCGGCCACCCGGTCCCATTCAACCGATCGCTTAGATCTGACCGGCCACCTCAGCCGATCAATCAATCACTTTGGTCTGGTCGGCTTCTTCGGCCTGACTGGTCCCTCTTGGATGTAGCACCCGGTCGGCCTAAAGAGTGGTCAATTGGCCAACTTCACTTGCATGTCTTGTCTCTTGCATGTTTTTGTGCATTGCTTAAATGTCTTACATGGCACCTCGACATATGAACCCATCTCAGTTCGATTGGCTGCCCCAACCCGCCCGACCGATCATTTTGTTTCTATCGGCCACCAAGGTCCGGTCATAAAACCACCTCACTTTGGTTTGATTGGCCACCAATGACCGATCACAGAACTAATCTTTTTGGTTTGACCAACCACCAAGGCTTGGTCAGATAACCAAACCACTTCGGTCTGATTGACCACCAAGGCCCAATCACAAAACCAATCTTTGGGTTTAACCGGCCACCAAGGCTTGACCAACCGGTCACTAGCTTGTTGCATGTGTTCACACTTTCGGTTGTGCACACTTGCATGTTTTTCTCACATAACATTTTGCATGTTCATGACATTCATGTATATTGGTGTCAAAGCTTCTCGCACACTCACCACGATGCTCGTGTGTCTTCTTCGAGAATGGTTTGCATATCAAGCCTACCCAATGTGTGATTCTCTCTAGCAAGAATTGTAATATTCACTACACAACCTTAGAGCCATTGAACCCCTTGAGTGCACAATAAGTGCTCACAAGATTTTCATCAATACGTGCATTACTGTGTGTGTTTAGATAGTGAGCTATACTGATTAGGTGAGTGACCCCATGTTGGTCATGTTGCATTAATGAGCATTGTTTGCCGAGTAAATCCTGATGAGTAATGCGAGTTATTGTATCGGGATCAAAACGAGTATGATTGTGTTAAGGATCTAAGGGATCAAACTTGTGTCACCCTGCATGTTACAAACCAACATTTAATGACCCTATTTTAAAATAAAAAAATATTATTTTTCTACTTATGATATCCATCTTACTTTTCAAAACTATGCAAATAGAAAATTAAGCTATATGTGATGCCAAACCTTTTTAAAATCCATCCCGGGTGACACTTTTTAGATCCCTTGGGTCTTTAGGATGAGGCTAGTGTGACGACCTAGTTAAAGTCATACATAATCTAAGATTGATACTGTTTAGGACACTTTTCGTTACATTGCGTGCTAGGCTGGGGCTAAGATGCTCAATAGTATTTTTAATGTCTGACTATAGTTCTCTATTGGTTTGGTTGCCCTAACCAGACATTATTTTGATTGTGCTTTTGTGTGTTTACTGAGTGTGAACATGCACAATAGTGTATTAGGTTGGTTTTCTTTCAGGAAGCCATGACTAAATATGTAAACACAGAGGTTTAATAAAAGAGGGTAGTAATGTCATGATTTATATACTAATTCTTTCTTATATGTGTTGTTATAAGCTCCCCCCGCTAGGCATGGCTTCTATATGTTGTATGAGATAACCCATGCTAACATTTTTTGTAGTCCGCGTCCTTTATTTTTTTTATCATGTATCTGATAGAGTCCTATGATTGAGTCTGTAATCAGAAATAAGGTATGAGCACGGGTTATGGGGTGGATGAGGCGTCAAACCACATGATGAGAACTAGGAATAACAGCTCGTGTCTCGTACCTTAATTATAAATTGCACTCTTGTATATAATTATGATTAAGCATGTATATGCGGAGTTTAGCCGTTTTTACTGCTTTCTTGGGATATATTGCCAACTCAGCGACATCAGCCTATTTTATTATTTTTAATTGGCTTGCCCATTTTCTATTTTGTGACAACCTTTGTTCTCATGCTTTCTTATTAGATTGTTGCTTCTCTCGGATATCTATCATGAAAAATATAATCTAAGTTATCCTAAGGACCCTAAGATTCTAAAAGTTCTATAAAATATTAATAATAAAAGATTAAGATTAATTAAAATTTAGGGTTAAGACATTCTAGATTTGTTAAAAAACCACATTTTACTTTTTGCATGACCTTCAGACTAGTTTTAAAACGGTTCACGTGCATGACTATATACTCAAACATGGTTTATAGGACCTTCACGCCATAAGATTGTGGTAGACAACTGCATCATATGCATATACCCGAGGAGAAGTTCCTTTACTTCTTCATACCTGACATGGCCAGGCATAAATTTTAACCTAGGGAGTTTTCTATTACGAATAGGGCGTTAGAGGCATCCTCGACCCAAATGGGGTATAAGTCCCTTGTGCGGAGCGTTTCCATCTTTGTAGTTGAACCTCCTTTTCTCCTCTTTCCAGAACCAACTCTACCATTTTTCCTGATGAGCGTAAGCCCCATCTCTTTGAACTCTACATGTTTAGGGTCATAGGAACCACAATTTTCATCCTTTGACTTTAGGCTATCGAGACTTCCTTGGATGACACAATTCATTGATTGCTGATAAGGAGCCTCCAGTTGTGTTGGGTTGACTACCTTCATAACCAAACAAACTTCAAGTCTACATAGCTTAGGATGACAAATCTGTAGTATCCCGACCCAACTATCTCTTCCTTTTTAGGGGGATCTTTTCCTTCATATTGACACCTCTTTCGAGCTCTATCAATTTCTTTGACAAATGGTTGATATTGTCTCGTGGCCCCACATGCCTACGCGTCACCGCCCGTAGCGGTTATGGTGATTCACCCTCTACAATATGGCCCGATATAGATGTCGAAAGCATCAGGATTTTTCCTTAAGATGATTTAAATCCATTGGTTTCCCAAGTAACCAGATTTCATTTAATTACATAAGTAAGACCCTTTTTATTTAGAGTTTTCTTGAGTATCCCCCAAGATGTCATTAACAAAAGGAATATATTCTTTTGGGAGTTTTCTTGACCCCAGAACAATCATCCATACTTGATTCTCTGGTTGTGAGTTGCTTTCATAAGGTCATCTTCACAGATATGTCTTCAAAGTATTTTTGATCTGATTTCAGTTCGGACGTATGCTTTGGGTTTATCCACATGA